ACACACACACACACACACACACACACTCACACACACACAGGCTGTGTCTGCATACACACACTTCCCTGCTATATACAGGTGCATCTCAAAAAAATAGAATATCGTGAAAAGGTTTTTTTGTAACTTCTTTCAAAATGAAACTTTCATATATTCTAGATTCATTACATGTAAAGTAAAACATTTCAAAAGTGTTTTTGTTTTAATTTTGATGATTAGAGCTTACAGCTCATGAAAGTCAACAATCCAGTATCACTGGATTTATATATATTAACACATTTGATGCATTAAAGTAATCTTAATTTCCCCATTCCATCACATTTATTGTGTGAACGTTTCAACACTTTCGTTTAAAAAAATATTTAAAACAACCCATCGCCTGAAATTTGCCACATTTGGAGTTTTATTTATTTGTAATTTTACCACATTTATGGTGTAATCGTAACATTTAAAGCAATAAACACTTTTTGTTTTAAACATAAAAAAATTCAACATTTGATGCATTAAACGTTCAACGTGCAACATCTACTTTTTTGCTTCAATGCCTAGACATTTGTGTAACTCTGCAACACTTTCTTTTTCTGGCATCCAGCATCGATGGCTTTGATGGGAGTGCACTAGATTGAACCTAAAGTAATGAATTTAAGCGATTAGGTGGCGCATCGCCTATGAAAGTATTTAGTATGGAGTGGATGTGTCTCAAAACGTCTCTAACCTGCATTCGTTGCACTAATGAGGCATGCACTTTTGCTTTGAACTCCAAACCCTGAGCGCTGTCCTCTTCGTTTCTCTTACGATGTGAATGTGAAGGCCATAAGTCACAATGTTTGCAATTAACATTATCGCCATTTGAAACAAAACCATCCCAAACAAGTAGTTTATTTAAGCCCAGTGGCAGATATTTGTTATTGTTTTAATCATAAACTCCTATAATACTACTTATCTTGTCATTTAGCTTCTGTAGTAAATGTGTTTTGATTTAAGAATCTTTAGACATTTAAATCCATCCCGGTATTTAGTCATTTTAGCAGAGAGTGCACTACTCACACTATTGATACTCCAGAAGGCCACAGGATTGTGTGTAAGTGCATGAGTTCTGTCACAGTATTCATTAAACACAAGACAGCCAATCAGAATCCATCCCGCTCGAGCGTTTAAACATCAGATCAGATGGTGTGCTGGTGCAGGCGCCAATATAGTTTCCATTATATTCATAGTTATCGCTTTTGGTGGAAACGGCCCTTTATCGAATCTCATGGTTTTGTGTATTTAGAGCATGTTCTGCTGATCAAAGCCCTCTCTTGCCACGATTTTATTTTTTAGAAATCGAGGAATCGCGGTTTTGAATAGAAATATTAGCAAACGTTAGAATTAGACACTCTGACAGTATGCCGGTGATAACAGTAAAGAGAAAAGAGCGATTAAGCGCTGATATCACACAGAATGAGCTTTTGTGTTGATAAAGATGTGACGCGGCAGCGGAAGAGGAAACACATGCAAGAAGATGAGAGTGAACTTCTCTTAACTTGAGCACAGTGTTGTTAGAGAGCCGTTTCATGCAAGAGACGAGCGCAAGAGTCAAACACGTCCATGTTTACATAGAAAAACAACAACTTATAAATACAGACAGTATATAATATCAGGATGTGAAGAGACTATCATCCTGACAAACCTATCAAAACAGGTTAAGTATGTGCATACGCTTGAGTGTGTAGAGAAACCATGTAGACTATATCATCTAAAAACACAACAATGCAACAATGCCCATTTCTCTTACTCACACCATGCTGTTCATTTATACCATGCAACTCAGCCATCTAATTCTTCTGAACCAGTTGTTTGCATCACGTATCAAAGTGCCAGTCATGTGATTTCAAAGTCTTTGTTAGGTCTCAAATGTCAGTGCTGAGCCTCTGAGCCAGTGTCTGTGGAGTTTCTGTTGCATTTATAGAGTTTTGACCAGCAGGTGTCGCCAGCGTGTGGTGTTTACAGTGATTTGATATGTGTGTGTGTGTGTGTATGTGTGTGAGTGTGTGTGATCTGTGTGTGTGTGTGATCTGT